CATACCAGCATTGTTTAAGTATATGTATAGCCTATACATCCTTAAGGATTTTTAAAAATTAAGTACCAACACATTATTTAGAGTCGCGTGGATAATTTGTTATGCCAAATGTTTTAAGCATCGATACAAACACAGTTTTGTTTAAATATATCACTTTTATTTACTCGGCATTTTATTAAACGTAGCACCACAAAAAATGTACAACAAAGAGCATTATAAATAGATGATCGAGTTCTGAACGTGGAGCGAAAGCGAGGTCGCTTCCTCCTTTGGCTCCGCATGCATAATCCGTGTTAAGCGCGGGGGACACTTGAATCAACGTCTCCAGCGATTAGAGAGGTCACGGAGCTGTGGTACCGGCGACGAGTGCCGATCTGAAATATTCCACCTTACGCAATACGCATGTTTATTTAAATTGTTCAAATTTCGTTTAACAACGTTACACTTTCAACGTACATAATTGTTATTAGACTATATAATCTGCGACTTTCGTAATGGGAAAAAAGTCGAATATAAAACATCAACACCCGGGCAGTGTCTGTCGAATTTATCTAGTCGATCCCACGTTTTAGAAATATTTCGAATTTGGCAGTCGTATTCGTTGAATTAACATTGAGTCTTCTGCCTTTCCGTTAGGTAATCGATAATTTTGTTGTTATTAATCCGAAGAGGCGCCAAGAGATATTTTATTAACGCCTCTCGTCGAGAAATTTTACTGCGACAAACGTATAGCTTAATCTTATCTGTAACTGGTCGATGGACTAGTTTCAGCAGCGTATCTCCTATTGTTTATATAACAACAATTGTTAATCTTATTAATAGAGAGTTGCGCTTCCAGAGCGGATAAAAAAGAGACCTCTCGGTCCAAAAGTCTGTTATCGTTACAAAGTTCGCGTTTAGACACAGTCTGGACCCAATCCGTAACTTGGCGAACATTCATCGAGTCTCGAGATGAAATCACATCTCACCCTGAGACAAACGCGGGGGCGTTTCGGCGTTGGGTTGAACAAGGGCTGTTTTAATCGAAAGCTGTTCCGTTCCTGTTTGAGAGGAAGGAGGGAAAGAAGGAAGGTCGTACGCGCATACAACACCGTTCTTCCTCTTCAGCAATGAATGCCCTGTACAGTCATTTATTTTATTACATACATGTCGATGGTCTCCCATTCTCGTTCGTTCTGTCGGGCGTGAAATGGTGACGCGACGATGTCGCGGCCAGGGATATTCCGAAAAGGCACTAACCCTCGAATATACGTCGATAAATCAAATGTACAAAATCAGTGCGGCCGCATACGAGGTTGCACCGACCGGCTCCTGCCCCTAATTACTTTCTTACGCTAGCCTAAGTCGTTCTTTTTTTTTTTTCAAATTTTTCAATTTTCATTTAATCTGTTAAAGCGAACCGCCTCGAAATCGAGGCTCGCTTCGAAGCCTTAGACGTCTAAAGCGTTGGACGCGTCGAGGAACTTGTTCTCGCTTCCCGTTCCACTTTCGATTAATTTAGTTCATTTTGGCACTTGATGATGTCTGTTAGCTTTGATGCATAAGAAATATCGTCGACTCTTAGATTTCAATTTGTTCGAACGATATATCAACTCTTGAAAAAAACATTAGAACGATTGATGTTTATTTCTTAAAATTTGAAATGACAAACTTTGTAACCAATTTTTAAATGTCGCTTCTCTTAGGAACTGCGTGTGTAATATTTCATACGCACCAATCTAACAAATATATTCATGTAACGTGAACAGGACCAACGAAAAGCGATAAGCCGAGTTTGATTAAGATAAAAAAAATTGTCAATTATTTTCTACCCTCTACTGTTACGACGAGATGATAAAATTATGGCACTGGTTAATTGATCGTAAAAAAATTTAGCAAAAGCGAGCCTATGCTTTTCTATCGATTTTCAAGAATTCGTCACCGGGTCCTAAGCTTCTATTCAACGATTAGACGTCCAAGAAGAGAGCGCCTGATACGTTCGGACCATCTCTTATACAATTCTACGCGATAGTGTCCGTAACGTACCAAGCGCTTCGTGAGTATCCTACTCGACAATTTATTATAAAAAAAGAAAAGAAAACAAGAAATCGAAAAACGACTGACGTCGATCTTCCGACCACTTCGTCCTTTCCCGCAGGGCGGAGATACGACGGGTTTTGCGACGGATGACTGGAAATCGCGAAGGAAATATCGATGTCTCGCTGGGACGACGATGGATGAACATCTCTCTCGTTTTGGGAGCGTTGCCACGGGTGAAAAGCGGAAGGCAACGGATACTCGCGGGATTCGAGACTAAGCGAGACTAAGCTGACTGTTAACTGGCGTTCTGGCAGTTAGCTTTGATGCGTGCACGTCACGCGCGCGACATCACCGACGGGAATATTGAATCCCGTGATTAGTCTGTGGTATCGACGCGAGCCGATGAGAAGTGAGAGATTCGCAGCTGCGATGGTGTACGTACGAGGCACAAATTTAATATCGTCGGAGTCACGTTGTTTGCTTGTCCGCGTTGTTTCCGTGATACTTTCAAAACGGAAAGATACTTTGTTTCAGCGATATAAAAACGCATGGCAATGTCTCGGTTCAGTAAGAGCGAAATGTGCGTAGTAACGATGACAATTATTGCTTGAGCTTCTTTCCATATTTGCTTCTTGAATCTCTTGAATATTAAAACTTTTACGTATATGCGTTTCAAATTGCTTAACGTTTCTCCAAAAGTCTTTATTCATACTTTTATATATAATAGCAACGTTTTATCGATCACATTTGTGCGAGCAATTTGAACACCTCTTTCTTCCTTCGATTTTATTCAATTCCGTCATTACGAAATAACAAACGTTTCGTGATTATTGTTCCAAGGATTTTTTTTTATAGAAATATCGTTCGAAGTATCGCAGTACAGTTATCTCAGTATACAATTCGTTGGTATGTTAAAGGAACAACGATCAATTTTTGTATACTTTATCATTTTCCCCTGGACAGTTCCACTTTTCCTAAACGTACTCCGAACACATTGGTTAACATGTGCAACCGAGTCTCCTCCGTCATTCCTCCAGTCGTCCGAGTATTCGAAGTCCTTCGAAACAGTCGTTTCCTTCCTAAAGACTAATGCTCCGGTCCTGCTGGGATCTTTCGAGGAGATCGTCGAAAACGGGACGTCACCTGTTCTCGACGAAGGACTCGACGATCCTTTTCATCACACTCTCGGATCTAAGCCTACGGGCCGTGGATCCCGCACTATTCGATCGGCGAACGAGCCAAAAAAGATTCTCGAACGCGTAACCAATTCTCGAATTCCTTCTTCTCTACACGACAGTCTTCGTTCGATCGACACTTATAAATCGAAACAAACTTCGGCCGGTGGTTAACCGAAAGATCTTCTCGCAGTAACAGCGTTAAATACCTAGCAGTGCGCGAGAAGCAGCATCTGGAACGTCAGATCCCTTCCTTCGTATCGAGGAGGATCATCCTGTTCCCCGACGCGGACACCGAATCAAACGAATCGTTTCTCTACTCTGTCTAGTGTTGCGGGCTGGTAACACGTCGAATCCGTACACTCCGACCCGCTTTGCGTCTCGCGATCCGACTTCGACTCAGCCCGACTCTTTTAAGCGATCAACGGCGCGCAGGCGATCGCTACTAGGATCGACGACAGGAGAACGGTCGATGCGCCCGACTTGTTCGGGTCCTCATGTATCGTCTTTTGTAGCGGATCTGCAACAGCGAATCGATCGAATTATGTATTAGACATTAAATTCTAATAAAATTTATGTTGAATTAAACTGAAATGCTCTTAACTCCAATAATTCTATATACTGTCAATTCACAAATCGAATACACGTATAGATGCAAGAATTATGTATTACGTTTGCGTATAAAATGAAAAGAATGTGGAGTTCCTCACCTAGTGTAGTTGGACCCATTCCTGAACCAGAGGCTTCTTCGTCGTCGTGGTCGTAACCGTGGACGTCCTCATCGTCGTTGTCGACTTCCCCTTTGCCTCTCTTCCTCCAGATCGGTCTGTCACCGCTTCCCGAACCGTCCAAGGCCTCATCGGCGAGAAGCACTCCGCTGTCGGGTGCCGATGCCAACTGAGTCTGCAAGATCTGTAAGAAAAATACATACAATGGTTCGGACGATTGGTCACCGTCGCAGAAATGAAATAAGGCTCAAAAAAGGGACGAGTGTCATTCATGGAGTAATTAATGGGACTTGAATACAACCATATAACATGCGAAAATAGTATGCAGATCGCATGTTGGCAAACGTTTGCTTTCGATGGAAATGAAGGAATAAATGATGTGAAGAAGGTAAAGGAAACGTCCCAATTTTTAACCGCTGGCTTATTTTTCTCTAATTTTAAGATTACGTATAGAATCAGATTGAAACTGACTCTTTATAACGT